TAAAAATTATTTCCCTAGTAAATTATGAAATAAACACTTATGTATTCTATAGATGCAGGGATAGATTGGTCTAACTAAACATATGAGGGTCACAGCCTATGGAGAAAAAAAAAAGAACTATGAAAGAAATTATTACTTAGAATGCTGATTAAGATCCACCAACGAAAATCCAATTTGCCTAAATTTGCAAAATGAATCCAATTAGTAATGTTGGATAAGGAGTTCATTCCCTATCCTTGGGTCCAAATATTTTGTTAGAACTAGACTCAATGGCTCTAAACATTTATAAATATATACTAAATTTTTGTCAAGACAAGTGAAAAAAAATGCATGTATTTATATTAGTCTCTGAATGATTTAGTCACAAATAAAATACCAATATCTATTATCTTAATAAACATTGTTATGTTCATTTTGCTCTTTAGTTTGACTGGCATATATTCTTAAATCACATTGCAAAAAAAAAGGAAAAAAGAACATATTATGAATTTCCATGACATTCCTTGTGAAAGTCAAGTTGTAAACAAAATGTAATTCTTCAACAGTTCAGTCAGAGATTATTTATCTTTGTATCAGATGAATGCCTATTACTTCAAATCCCTCTTCAACTTTAGGAAAGTAATTGCTGTCTTACTTTTTATCAACATCGGTTTTGGTTTTGAAAATTTTATCTGAAAAACAGGCATCCTGATGTTGGAATCAGTTCATATTTCTATCATCAGTATAGTCAAGTCCAGTAGAAAAATCAAAATTATGGGATTTAATTTTTAATTAGTGACACCAAATGTTGTCAAATATTTTAAGAAGACAGTCTATTGAGCTCCTACAGTTCATTTCTTATTTCCCTTATTCCCAGAACTGTGCAAATTCAGGGTGAAGAAGACATTCTAATTTATCTCTGTCTTTCATTGTAAGTAGCACACAGGTACAGATTTGATCTTTCTGATCACAAGCACTTAGATAAGAGTATATTTGCTCCATGGTAAATCAGAGAGGAACTTCTCCAGTGGGTTACTCATCTCTTCAAAATCTGAATTGCTTCCTAGGATTATGTGGCTAGAGCTAAACCCAGAAGATAGTGTCTCCAGTGTCTGATGTTAAGCAGGGTGAATTTGGGTCTATCAGGGTTTGTCAAGTAGTTCAAGTTTATTAGACAGTTACAACACTGTTTCTTTACTGGGTTTTTACTGTCATAAAAGAAGTGCTGCTGTTCCTAGCAGAAAAAGTTCTCATTGATGAATATAAGTGTGTGCACATAATGCAACCCACATTAAAAAAAAAAAAAATCAAACACTTGCCTTTATTTAATAAAGATTGCAATTAGAATGATAACTGAAATGAAGAAATCACTTGTATCATTCAAACACCAGCTTAATTTTCATTAGCTGCTTAACTGCCTTATAAGTCACTGTTTCCCTCCTCTCCTCTCTCGTCTCCTCCCCTCCTTTCTCCATTCCATGCCTTCACAGCTGAATAAATATATGGTATTAACTTCCAATTACTTGGTATCCATTGTTATTAACATAATAAGATCCCTCATTGTTTTTACCTTCTTCTTTGGGTTCTTTTGTTTTGTTTGCTAGTTGTTTTGGGTTTTTTTAGTTTATAAATGTGCTGGTATGTAAAGTTTAAACCAATCTTTTAGCAACTGACAGTTATCTAGAAGCAATTATTTTCTTGCATTATGTTGAAACTACGTTAGTTGAATGTACTGGACATTCAGAAATGAGTTGACAGAGGACATATGTCATGTCGGCTTGCCATGTGCCTGTGTGACCAGCACACAGTGCATCCTACCATGACACTGTCAGTGTCTATTAGGCAATATCAATAAAATCCAGTTCGATTTTGCTGCCCACCAAATACCACTGCAGTCTCATGTAATTACCACTGCACTGTGGGAAAATCCAATAAGTTTTGGTTCTTCTTGTATATAATTTCTTGAATGATTCATCCATTTACTTCTATGTTTCAGTAATAAAACACATCATGCTAGTACCAGACTCCTTTGAAAACTCAATGCTAGCAAAATTGCAAAGCATATGTGCTCTGATCATTGCTATGCTTTTTTGAAAGTGTCTGTATTACCACTTATGTGTGTCACACTGTTACATCTTGCATGGTTTTACTGTCTAACAGAAAGAATTTTTTAATGAATTTTTGGTGAATGTCACTTTGGGGATATTCACACATTTATGCATGAGAATTATATTGTTTGTGTGCAGTGACCATAACACAGAATATAACACTCTTCTGTAAACATACATCTTGTTTATCCATTAAGCCTTCTTACTAGACAATGCAAGAGCCAGTTAGCAAAATATAGAATTTTTTATGCATTAAATGGATGTTAGGTGTCATCTATCATATTCAAGCTGAAAGACAGAAATAATAAATTTCACCTTCTGTTGAAGAATTGGTTTCCTTAGAATAAAGATCTCATTTATTGAGTTTTGTTTTTATGTTTCAAAAAGTGCACTGACTTTGGATAAGAAACAGATCATAGCTGATTTTAACCAGTTCTGTTCTTTTAATCTTATACATATATTTACTGTGGTGATATTTTCCCCCTCTAATAACATTAAATATAATGAGAGTGATCTTCTATCACTACTGATTTGATACAACTACAACGTGTTTTATACTAAGTGTTATTAGAGACATGTATTACTGACTTTGTACTGATACTATTTTTGTTCTACTGATTGAAACACTGATAAAGGCTGATTTCTTTTGTGTATTTAGCAAATTTACTGGATGAGTTGTGACCTCAAATACACATAAGAAATAGAGCAACCTTCTGGGTGTTTTTAGCTCACCATTGAGCATTATTTTTGAGAAAAGGTGTATTTATTCTTGTAAAGTAAATCTATTTTACCTTTCAAGACCTTGTTGGAGAAGTACCATAATACATGAAAAAGAGGTGTTATGGAGAACATGCCATCTGAATTCTCATGGATATAATAAAAATATTTTTGCTAGTATTTCACTCTGCTACCCAAACATCTTTAGAAGTTTTTAATTACATAGCTTATTATCTGACAGACCCCATGCTAAAATGGATATGAAAACTTGGATGGTCTTTGCAAAGATAATCAATTAATTGCATTGTATCACACACACTTTGAAAGTAGTTTTGAGAGCTACTTTCTAAACATTCTTCATTGTCTTTCATTATTTAAGGCACAAAATAAGATGCAAAAGAAGCACGCTTTTTTCCCTATCTATGCATTGTCTATACAAAGCTAGAAAAATGTCATTTTAAGAGAATCTTTTTAGATATATAGAATTAAAGTGGTAATGATATTTCTTGTTTACTTGTAATGCATGTATAAAAGTTTTCTCCTCTCCTTTTCCCCCTCCTTCTTCCCATTAAGCATTACATTTTCTGAGAATGGCAGTAGCATGACTATACAGCATGCTCAATAAGAAAGGAGTTTAACAGAATTTATTAAAAAGAAAAAGAAAGAAAAAGATAAGTTTAACTTTTGACCCAAAAATGTTGTTTTGAATAGCCAGTATCTAAACACGAACCATGTTGAGAATTTAAAAAAACAGTAATTGTTCTCCTGCATAGGCCCTCAGCACACAGCTTTGGTATTCAAAGAAATAACATGTAATTAAATGTCAATTGCACAGTGCCACAAAGCACAGACTTATATCCTTTTTTTTTTTTAAGATAGTATAACGGTATAAATTTGTGATATTTGTAGAGAGTTCCACACCATTTCCATTCTGAATCTGCCAATGCTTTGTCTGGACAGTTTGTCCTACTGTAATTTTACTGAAATGTTAAGTAAAAGGGTGCATATTGTCTGATAGGAAAAGAAGCAGAATAAAAGGGGAAATACCCACTTCAATTCCACGCCCTTTAGTAAGTGAAAAAATCTTTGGCTACCCAGTCATTGGAGCAAATGTCTTTGTTCTTTTATGATTTTGTTTTGTTTGCTGAACCAAAACACAGCATGTGCTTATCAAATAGTAGTTTGTAATGCTATGATTACCTGAATTTTTGTGGGTTTTTGAATTTTTTAATTCTGTTAGTACAGCCTCTAAGTGAAGAAATTTGATTCACACAAGAAAACATCCTTAATAAAAATTGTTTCTTCACATATTCTCTGTAATTTTGCCCTTAATAACCAAACTGTATTGCTGAAAAAGCTTTCTTTTTAACGAATATTTTCTTTGGTGACTTGCACTGAAAACAACTATCTGAGCCTTATAGAAAGGAGACTTTAATCATTGTAACACAAACACAAACACCTTTATACTCTCCATGATTAGCAAATTTTATTACAGGCTGCTTTCCTGCTTTCTGCTAAAGAATTGAAAATGCCAGGACAGTGCTCTTGCAATGTTCCTCACATTTCTTGAAACCAACTCTCTGTGTGACATGCATGTCACTTAGACATCAAGAGCAAAATAAGCTCCATGGAATATTTTTATAATTTATTGAATAATTACAGAATGTAATTAGCATTTCCACTAGATAAATCCTAAACAACCTCACACAAACTTTGAATTCAGGGGGTTTTGTTTGTTTTGTTGCTTTCCAGAACTCTTGGCTGTTCTCTTTCCAAACTGATTTCTATCCTGGCAAAAAATATTTTAAAGTGATTATGTCTCTTCTTTTGAGCAGAAAAAGTTCCTGTTCCTTTCACGAAGCGAAAACCAAAGAAGCAAACACCTTACATTCAGCTATCCCAAAATGCAAATATTCTGGGAGAAGCAGGGCTATAATGCTGAGAGGAATAATAGATTTCAGTGTGAAATTGCCAATAATTTCTCATCTTGTGCTACAAAGATGTCCCATTGAACCTTTTAGCTAAAATCTTCTTGATATGTGAAACCTGGCTTGTGATCACACTAGAGATTTCTGCTGTTATAACTCATTTAATGGGAATAAAATTACACAGATGTTTTCTGAAACTACATGGAACTGACTCATGGCCCCAGTTTGGAAACCATAAACATTAATCATCTCTTCCTTGTTTTCCTAGCTCCTGTTCGCTACTTTCAATGTGTCTTCCTAAATGGACCTAATGGATTTGGGCTGCAATTTCCCACTAATCCCCCTTCAAACAAGGAAGAAAAGACTCACTCAAAGACTTCCAAGAGAAAGACAAGGAAACCGGGGCAGTAGAGAGACTGAGTCCTGTGATCACTGACATTTTGCACTTTATCTTTTCTGCTGAGGTCCACAGTAGCTACAGTGGTACTTGTCATTGCAAGAACATGATCCACTTGCACAAATGCACCTGTATAAAATTTCCATGGGGCAGAGGCAGAACAAGCAGTAAGGAACTGTATTTAACAAAAAGAAACACAAAAGTGCCCCGTTTCTCATGGAAAGGCTGCAATGCTAACAAAGCATTGACGTGACTGTGTGTGTGAGCATGTGTGTGTGTTTTACTGCCTATTTTGCTCTTCTTGTTTTTCTTTACCTACATGCTCAGCATTGAAGTGAGTCTGTTTTCCATTTAATCTTATCTAAGCGGAGAAATGTTGAATGTAGCTCTTATATCAGCAAGATTGCGAGGCTTGCTGCAATCCTAAATCATTTCTTTTTAAAGTTCAATCACATTGCTGACAGGAAAAAACCTCACTAAGTCATGAAAATGTGCTCTGTGACTGGTTCTATTTTTATGTCTCATTGACCGGCGTAGCCCAAAGCTCACACTTACCTGGAACAGCTCAATATACTACCAGTAAGCTGACTCCCCAGGTCACATTAATGATGAATATTTCTATTTTACTTGAAGCTGTAAAGGCATGGACTGTTTGCCCTGCCTGTTGGTGAAATACAAACTCGTCTCCTTTTAAAGACAAAGTGAGAAGAGAAAGTGAAACCACACAGCAAAGTTTAGGAAAACCAGTGTTTAACCAACACGAAAGTCCCCAGAAACTAATGAAATAGTTATAACGCTTCTAGTTTTCTTCTGTGGCTAAATCAGATTGACTTGCAGTGAAAATGTTGTAAATGGAGAATATACCAGCCAACCACTGGCTATTAGCATAAGTCAGATGAAAAGCTAGGATGTGAGATGCAATTCATGAAACTAAGGCAACCCAAATTTCCTATGGGTAAGCATGCAAATTGATACTATCTTAGATCAGTGAACAAAAAACAGCAACAAAAAAGCCAAACCAAAACCAAAACAGACAAACAATCAGAAAACAGAAACAGGAACACCTGAAATAATCCAGGTAGTTTATTTTACTAGATGAAATGAAAGGGCTTCCTCATAGCACAATACTGTAGATAAGTTACAGAACTGAAAGACACACCAGTTCTCAACCTTCTTTTGTGCTTTTATGTAGAAATAACGAATTTGTTGCCTTAAGAAAGAGATAAGATGGCATTTGATCCATGTAAAAGGCACATGACTGAAAACTGGCATCTCACCTGTCTGTGGCTGGCAATGTAAATAAACATGCATTTTTGCAAGCTGCTATTTGCTTGTATTTCTTTACTGTATTTTTGCATTTAATCTGGGAAATACGCAGCAGTGATCTTAGTTATATAGTTTCTTGGTGAAGCAGCATGATTTTCTTTGTACAACCTGACTACTTGTGGAGTCTGAACACACCAAAAACTATATACTACTTTTTTAGTTCTAGTATAGTTGAAGATAACATTGGCCCTTTCCCTCATCTCCTTTCCCTGCCCATCCATTCTTATCTTCATCAAATAATTGACTCACATGAGTTTTGGGCAACTGATTCTTTGACAGATTAGTGCAATTCAGAAAGCTTTGCTGTTACACTGCTGGATCAGGTTGGTACTCTATGACTACTGGTCATGGCCTTACATGAACTGGGTTCTTGGTCTTAGTGCACTCTGATATTGCACAGGTCCTGTGCTGCAAAAACTGTTATTGCCACAAGCAGTTTAGGCAGTGGTGTGCAGAAAGAGGTAAGAGCAGCTAGGATTAGCTCCTCCCCACGTAGGAGCACACTGCAGATAAGTGTTCATGGTGAATACCCCCACCGTGCTCTGTGAAATCTTCTCTGGATATAGTGCTGCCAACAGAGCACATAATAATCTTTAGTTTTCTTTCAATGTTGCTTTTTATATTTCCAGTTACTCTTTCCTTCCCAATTTGTGATTTTGTATATATTATTATGGATATTATTGCCCTAGGTTTTTACTGTGAAAGCTGTCTTAAAATTAACATTATAACTTTCTGAAAAATCAGTTAAGATTTTATCTAATGCAAATAATCATCACAAAATTTTAATATACTAGAAGCCTTTATTTTTTTCAGTTTCTTTCGGCAAAATATTTTTTCTCATTATAGTTAGCCTTAATCCTTTCTTCCTATCTGAGATGGGAGATGACAAGAATTTATTCCAGATCTCATTTCCATAATGTTTCAATTAACTATCTGAAAGCTTTGGAAATATAAATAATTAGTATAATTGAATAAGGGATATAAAATCAGTCATTTATTGTTGTTTCCAAATCTTAGTCACTGCCTCAAAAAACTGGAGAAATGGGTCTACTCTCAAAGTGGGAAGCATATTTCTCTTTAAATTCACCTGGAAAGTTTTAAAAAATTTACTTGATTTGCATGTTTTAACTCAAATTAACCTGAAGTATTACAAAATCATATGCTGATTGTTATACCTTTTGGAAAATAAAAAATATAAATCTTGTTTCAGTGGCTGTGATATGTTGTTCTGTGAATTCAAAAGTGGAGGACAAGGGTTTAACTGCGTAAGTTTAAAAAAATTTGATTATAAAGATGCAATTAGGCTGGGAAAATTCATTCATTCATTGCATTTATTCTTAATGAGCTTTTAGCAATACTTAGCTAGCTTTTTTGCACACTTTGTAAATTACAATCTGACACAGGAAAAGCTAAATTGCTGCTGCAGTCATTCAAGGTAGGACTTCATCTGTACCAAATCACATATGTTCATCAAAGTGATTATTTAAAATACAACTGTACAACCAATACAGACAAAGCTTTGATCTCCAGTGACTAGTCTGTAGTTCAGACAACTCAGAAAATTACCATCAAGAAGCTGAGAGAGCAAAAAATTGTAAGATTCCCCCCTTATATCCCTCAGGAGGTATGGTTTGCCTATATCAGCAATTGCTAAAACAGATGAGATAGCGTGGCAATCAGACTCCAGCCTGAAGACCATACAACTGCAATTGCACAGCTCTGCACTGGAGCTCAAGAGTCCTTTGCCCTGTGGAGTTTGGTGAGCCATCCCAAGTGCAAGGTGTGTCTGTTGGCATTTTGGCTGTACACCTTTCTCTGAGATGCTAAAAGCCTACTGAAGTCAACAGGAACCTGTCACCTGCACACCATACACTGGCAGAGTTAATCACTAAAGAAGCCTCTTACATAGACTTTCTGACCATGCTTCAGTAACTGGGGCAATGAGTAAATTTCCAGCAAGTCCAGTGAGATCAGTTTTGTACTGCTGTCTGCCCCAGAGCTGTCTGCTTTCACTGGTGCAGTCCTCAGACCCCATCTGCAGTCCTCAGTCCCCATTCAGTGTTTCACACATCTACCCATGCATGGCACAGCTGGAGTCCAATTTTGTCCATTTTAAAACCTTTCTGCAAATGGGACCTTTTCTCAGTGGCTCATTTCTATTGTGCCAGTTACTGAGGGATGGTCAGAGTGTCTGTGTAAAAAGCTTCTCTATTGATTAACTGTGCCAGTGTACACAGTGCAGGTGCCCAGGTGCTGGTGGGGGCTGCAAGGCAGCCTCTGTGAGGAGCTGCTGAGGTTACCCTGGGTTAGAGTTGGCTGATTCCAGTCAGCTCCAATGCACTCACCTCAGGGCACAGAGGAGCCCTGCAGCCACGATGTCGGTGCCTTGAGAAAAGCAGTTGTAAGGAAGCTTTGGAAATGTCACAAAGAGAGGAGGACAGAACAAAAAGAGGAAGGAGCAGATGAAGCACCAAAGTCAGAAGATGAGGAGGAAGAGGAGCTGCTCTGCACCAGGGCAGAGATTCACCTGCAGCCTGTGAAGCACCCCTGCTGGAACATGCTGTGTGACAAGGACAGAGCAGTGGAGAGGAACCACCATGTACCAACCATTACTGCTGTAGACTGGTCTGAAGGAGTGACATTGATCTTGAGAAAGGGGAAGGAGAGGTGTTGATTTAATGTTTGTCTTTCTGTTTCCCACTATCCAAATCAGCAATTACTTTTTTATGACCTAATTTTCCCTGAGTCTTCTTTGTCCACCACAATAATTAGTAACCAGTCTGCTAGCCTTTAGCTCAACCCCCAAGCTTTCTCATTCCTATTCTTCCCATTTTCTCTCCCTTAGGGAATAAGCAAGCAAGCAGCTGGGTGGGAGTTCAATTGTTAACCATTATAACTGCTTGTTACACAGATCATACACTCTTACTAAATGTCAACAAACTGCTACTTGTTCCACATTTAGGGTCTCCACTTAGAGCACAAGACAGAACAAACATAACTTGTACATTACTGCAAAGATTTATTCCACTGACCCCCAACTCTAGAACTACACTGCTACATTTTTTTATACACAGCCATTTACTACTTAGTATAGTCTAGTTTAGATGTCAAATTCTTTATGACAAAACTGTAGGACATGTGGCTTTAAGACAACATAATAGAATTGCAGTAAACATGGTTGCAGAGGGATGTCTTTATCTCTTAGGATATAGGCGCTCAAGAGAGTAGCTGAAAGACTTTTCCCTTTCCTATCTTAATACTTTTCTTCCACCACTCAGTATAGTAAGAAATCAGTGACTTACTGCCTTAGGGAGAACACTGGTTGCTTAAGCTGTTTTGAACTTAAGACAGGCAACATCCCTCAGTTACATACCATTGGCAGCACTTCTTTCCAGGGATTGAAGACTTTGGAAGCCAAGAACAAAAGTAAAAGTATTACATGAGTAGTACTGGTGAAAGTGAAGGTGTGAGGGGCTGTTATCTGACAAAATAAGAGGAAATATCAAATGCCTTAGGAGGGTTCCTGGGCAGGAATCATACATAAAAGAAGAAAAATTTGCTAAAAATTCATCTTTAAGAAGGTGATATATCTGCCACCTTTTAGTTCTTCAGAAGGAAGAAACACAAAGGTAACTGGAAATATGAAGCATGTGTTATTTACACACCTGAAAAGGTCACTAGATCTCTAGCTTCCATACCAGCTATTTATACTGAGTGAAGTTCTCCAGAAATTTCCAATTAGCCAAATACTTAGGGAGTTGTATTATCCACCTGTGGGCAAAACAGAGTGTACCTCTCAATGCAGAATTCTTAGCCATTCAATTTAACCATGAAATAGCATGACATTTTTCAGGTTTTCTCTTGGTATATGGATTTCTGTATATGCACATTGTTTGCGATACATACTCTATACAACAATCTGTTCTGAAGACCTCACATTGCAAGGACTGGGTTAGTTAATGGTGCAAATCAGGAGTTTTCTTCAGTTTCTAGTCTTGTCTTTTATTATGATATCATTTATTATGATAGAAATTAGTAAAATTTTTAGAATACATTTTATTTTGCCTGGTCCAAAACCCCAGTAATTCAATTTATTCAGTAATGCTTCCTTTGGAAAGGTATTGCAAAAAATGTACTTTCCAGATACCACTTTTATTATGTATCTATTTTACCAATACTCACTAGACAAAATAAGTTTAAAACTTTAACTCTTTTTCTTTCAGTGAGTTGTTTATTCTCAAAGAGAAAAATATGTTCTTGCTCAAATGACCATACTGACCCCTGTGTTCCCTTTGCCTTGATTCTTGTTCTATGTTAAGAAAAACCTAAGTGGTCCCATTTTTTTTCTCCACTCACTGTAGGAGAAGACCGAGTTCAAAACCATTTAAGGAACCTGAAGGTGCACCAGTCCATGGGACCTGACGAGATACATCCATGGGTCCTGAAAGAACTGGCCAAAGAAGTGGCTAAGCCACTATCTATCATATTTGAGAAGTCATGGCAATCTGGTGGAGTCCCCACTGACTGGAAAAGGGGAAACATACCCATTTTTAAAAAGGGAAATAAGGAAGAACCAGGGAACTACAGGTCAGTCAGTCTCACCTCACTGTCTGGCAAGATCATGGAGCAACTACCCCTGGAAACTATGCTAAGGCATATGGAAAACAATGAGGTGATTGTTAACAGCCAACATGGCATAACTAAAGTCAAATCAAGCCTGACAAATTCATTGGCCATCTACAATAGGGTTACAGCAGTGGTAAATGAGGGAAGAGCAAGAGGCCTCACCTCCCTGGACTTGTGCAAAGTCAATGTCCCACATGACATCCTTGTCTCTAAACTGGAGAGACATGTGTTTGACAGGTGGGCCACTGGGTGGATAAGGAATTGGCTGGAGGGTCACACTCAAAGAGTTGCAGTCAGCAGCTCAATGTCCAAGTGGCAAGCAGTGACTAGTGGTGTTCCTCAGGAATTGGTAATGGAACTGGCACTGTTTACCATCTTTGTTGGTCACATGGACAGTGGGCTTGAGTGCACCCTCAGTAAGTTCACTGATGACACCAAGGTGTGTGATACAGCCAACATGCTGGAGGGAAGGAGTGACACCCAGAGGGACCTTGGCAGGCTTGAGGGTGGGGCACAGGTGATCCTTGTGAAGTTTGACGAGGCCAAGTGCTACGTCCCATACCTGGGTTGGGGCAATTCCAAGAATAAGTACAGGCTGGGCAGAGAATGGACTGGGACTAGTTCTGGGGAGAAGGACTTGGTGCTGGTGGACAGAAAACCCAGTATGACTTGGCAATGTGTGCTTGCAGCCCAGGAGGACAATTGTATCCTGGGCTGCATCAAAAGCAGCATGACTAGTAGGTTGAGGGAGGTGATTCTCTCCCTCTACTCTGCTTTGGTGAGACCCCAGCTGGAATACTGCATCCATCTCTCGGGCCCCCAACACAAGAAAGATGTTGGCATGTTGGAGCAGGTCCAGAGGGGAACCAGTAAGTTGACCACAGGGCTGGAACACATCTCCTATGAAGACAGGATAAGAGACATGGGGCTGTTCAGCCTGGAGAAGAGAAGGCTTCGGGGGTACCTAATAACAGTCTTCCAGTACCTAAAGGGGGCCTGCATGAGAGCTAAAGAGGGAGTTTTCACAACAGTGTGTAGTGACAGGACAAGAGGGAATGGCTTTAAGCTGAAGGAGGTTAGGTTTAGTTTGGATATTAGAGAGAAATTTTTTACTGTGAGGGTTGTGAGGCTCTGGAACAGGTTGCCCAGAGAGGTTGTGGACTCCCCATCCCTAGCGGTGTTCAAGGCCAGGTTGGATGGGGCTCTGAGTAACCTGTTCTAGTGGAAGATGACTCTGCATATAGCAGGAGGGTGTGAACTAAATTATCTTTAAGGTCTCTTCCAACCCAAACCATTCTATGATTCTAAAGGATAGTCTGCCAACAGGCAAACTTTTTCCCAGATTTTCTTTACTTTCTCTTAATTATCTTCTCTTACTTTTCTCCTGCAATATCTAATGGTAATAAGCATGCCCATGCCCTAAACATTTGGGGTTTGTCTCAGTTATCAATAGGAA